TTAAATAAAAAATGACAATGTTAAATAGAACATGACAATGTTAAATACAAAATGGCAATGTTAAATAGAATATGACAATGTAAAATAAAAAATGACAATATTAAATAGAAAATGACAATGTTAAATTGTTGAAGTGATATTAATACTGTTTAGAATATTAACACTGATGTCAATGTAAGCTTCAACATGAACTATTCAACATAATTTAGTTTTATAATCATCAAAGTTGATATTAGAATTATCTTGAAAAAAGCAGCATGACAATGTTAAATGTTAAATAGAACATGACAATGTTAAATTGTTGAAGTGACATTAATATTGTTTAGAATATTAACACTGTTGTCAATGTAAGCTTCAACCTGAACAATTCATCATAACTTAGACTTTCATTCATCCTGAAAGTTGATATTAGAATTATCTTGAGAAGAGCAGCATGACAATGTTAAATATTAAATAGAACATGACAATATTAAATTATTGAAGTGACATTAATATTATTTAAAATATTAACACTAATATCAATATAAGCTTCAACACGAACAATTCAACATAACTTAGACTTTCATTCATCCTCAAAGTTGACATTAAAATTATCTTATGAAGAGTAGCATAAATTTTGAGGTTACCAAAAATATCATCAAACCTTACCTTATTACCTTATATATTTAATCATTATTATAAACTTATTAATTAATAATTAATTACCCTCATATCTTCCACTATATATTCCTTATATCTTCCACATAATAATCGATTAACCTTGATTTTCCTCAACCGTAGGTTCACTCGTCTAGGTGAAAAGGTGACGCAAGTTCCAAGGCCAAGTTTAAGCAGCTACTTGCGACGTGCCAACGTGCGACCCAGCGCGACTCTTCAGCAACTAGCGAACCTTTACGACTCCCTGAGTAAGGACGCCAGGAAGCAAGGATTCGGAAAATACACAGGCTACTCCGACGAAGTTTTGAACACCCTCGAAACGTCCGCAGAGGGTGGAATCGGGTCGCAGTTGAAGAAGATACTGGACAAAGTGTTGGAAAGAAACGAGTTGACGAGGGACGACGCGAGGACGAGGACTCATCAAGCTGTACGCGATCTTAATAATCCTTCGAGCATGCTTAATAAGGATTTGAGACCTCTGTTGCCTTTAAGATACTCACCCTAAATGTAATACTTACGATTCATAAGATATTATTCTTAGAAATTAAGAATTTCTTTCGGACTCTGTTTGACGAAATGTGAGACTAGCAAGGTGGAAATAAAGTATAAGTAAAGAATTAGGTATAAGCTCTCTTGTAAGATCTCGATGTTTAGCGAAATTATTATGAGATTAATATTCCTGTACGATTGATACTCAATAAAGGTTTTAAGACGATTTGTTGACTCACTGAACTGCAATGATAATTACTGAATAGGCGGATGCAAGGATGACTCATGTTCGATTTTTTGGCAATGTGATTCATACTTTTCGTTAGAAGTTTGATATTGAAATTACCTAAGAAATGAGTAATCGTCGGATATTGCCATAAGTCCCAAATTCCATAAGTTCCAAATTCCACAAGTCCCAAATTCAATAAGTCACAAATTCCATAAGTCCCAAGTTCGGTTATTCTCAAATTCCATAAGTTCCAAATTCCACAAGTTCCAAATTCCATAAGTTCCGAATTCCATAAGTCCCAAATTCAATAAGTCCCAAATTCCATAAGTCCCAAGTTCGGTTATTCTCAAATTCCATAAGTCTCAAATTCCATAACAAGTTCCAAATTCCAGAAGTTCCAAATTCCACAAGTTCCAAATTCCACAAGTTCCAAATTCCATAAGTTCCGAATTCCATAAGTCCCAAATTCAATAAGTCCCAAATTCCATAAGTCCCAAGTTCGGTTATTCTCAAATTCCATAAGTCCCAAATTCCATAAGTTCCAAATTCCATAAGTCCCACATCTCCACACCCCAAAATTCACTAAAATCCCAAATTCCATAAGTCCCAAATTCCATAAGTTCCAAATTCCACAAGTCCCAAATCTCCACACCCCAAAATTCACTAAAATCCCAAATTCCATGAGTCCCAAATTCCATAAGTTCCAAATTCCATAAGTCCCAAATTCCATAAGTCAAAAATTCCCTAAAATCCACCTTCCAAAAATCCCTAAAATCGACCTTCCCAACTCCCAAACTCCATCCACTCCCGTCCAAAATCGCAAACAAATCTTACATCACCTCGCCATTTCTCAACTTCCGAAGGTCCATCAACTCCGTGTATCACATGCAAAATACCAAACAAATCTACCTACGTTATTTCACAGCAAGATTTCTCGTAGCATCGTAACCCGCGAATTTTTCTACGATTCACCTTGACCCAAGGGACGATATTGTTTATTGGCTGGACAATATGAGCTGGCAGAGTCCACGGAACAGATATACGTGCCTCGTATAACAATTTTCGTTGGGTAACGCAGTGTCAATGGTTTGTCCACAAGGCAACGACGTAGACGCGAAACAATAGGAACAGGTACTTCATTGAATTAGGTATATCGAGACCCTACGCCATTGTATTGCACGTTGGTATAAATGGATTTTGAAATCAATGGGTCTTTCAGTCGTTGCGTTGCTTCGAATCGAATCATTGAAAGAGAATAGGTGATCGACGACCACCCTTGGAGAGCCATGAAAATTGTTCTTCTGGGATATTGCCTTCTTTGCGTGAGTTATTGTTTTACTTTATTGCTACGTTTAAGAAACTCTGATTGAATGTTCGATTATATGTCTGTTGTGTAATAATCAATTATGAGACACTGGAAACTGCGTGTTATACTAAATATTATATAATATTCACGTATGGAGAATCTGTCTTTTGCTTGGAGTTTGATATGAGAAAGTTTTGCATATTATATTCTTTTCCAACTTAAAGGAAACTGCATATTGAAGTGAAGTATTATGCAATATTCAAGTATGAAAAGTTATTCTACAGTTGAAAATTTTGCTGATACTTCATGTTGGATTGAAATATTATGTAATATTCATGTACGATAAATTTTATTTTAACATTTAAAGGTTTTTGTGGAAACTTCATATTAAATCTTGATCTTGACATATCTTATATATTCTATAAAGTGTGAAATGAACACTTTCAAGGTTCCAAATTTCCACCATTAAAATTCTTCAAGGTTCCAGATTTCCACCATTCCAATTCCTCTAGGTTCCAAATTTCCACCACCCCAACTTCTCAAGCTTCCAAATTCCTAAGGTCCTAAATCTCCCAAAGTCCCAAATTTCAAAGGTTCCAAACTCCCATCACCCCAACTCTAAGTCCCAAGTTCTCAAGGTTCCAAATTCCCATCACTCCAACTCCTCAAGGTTCCAAATTTCAATCACCCCAACTCCTCAAGCTTCCAAATTCCTAACGTCCTAAATCTCCCAAAGTCCCAAGTTCTCAAGGTTCCAAATTCCCATCACTCCAACTCCTCAAGGTTCCAAATTTCAATCACCCCAACTTCTCAAGCTTCCAAATTCCTAACGTCCTAAATCTCCCAAAGTCCCAAGTTCTCAAGGTTCCAAATTCCCATCACTCCAACTCCTCAAGGTTCCAAATTTCAATCACCCCAACTCCTCAAGCTTCCAAATTCCTAACGTCCTAAATCTCCCAAAGTCCCAAGTTCTCAAGGTTCCAAATTCCCATCACCCCAACTCCTCAAGGTTCCAAATTTCAATCACCCCAACTCCTCAAGTTTCCAAATTCCTAAAGACCTAAATTTCCCAAAATCCCAAATTCTTAATCTTCCAAATTTCCATCACTCCTCGTCTCAAATTCCTAATGTCCCACTTCTGTACACTTGCAAATTCTACTAATACTTCAAGCAAAATCAAAACATTATATAACATTCATATACAATAAATTTGATTTCTCCCTTAAAAATTTTTCAAATATTTTTCACCTTCATATTAAATCCTGCTCTTGACATCACACATTCTACAAAATGTAAACTAAACATTTCCCTTTCGCCAGCAAATACACCAAAGTTTGCTGCAAATTTTCAGCTCTCCACGATGAGAGTGCACTCGAAGCCCCAGATAACGCGGCTGTACCCGATCCAAGAGGCGCCAGAGCCGGATGACACGAAGCCATTGGACAAATTACTGGGAAAATTGCGAGCCACGTACAACTTCGTGTTTCGAAAGCCAGAGAATACAAGCAACGTGGAGAAAATTTTGGCCAAGGATGCGCCTGACCCCGACGTGCAGGCGTTGAAATCGATCTGGCGCGATCGAATGCAGAAATTGAGGATCGATGTGAAATCTGAACCGGAGAGGACATATTTGTCTAATGATGATTGGGTGAATGATATTCAGCCGTTGGATCATTTGGAGCCGTTGGATATAGAAGAGGAGGAGGTTAGAGATAAAAATCGAGATGTGGAGTTTGTCACTCCGAGGAACGGCTTCCAACTTCCGGTGACGCTGAGCCGCCATCTTGTTGACTGGCTGGGCTCGCTCTTGGGGATTACTTATGGCGTTTACTCTAAACTGGCTAGAGCTATCTATAGTAATCACACGGGGACAAGTAATTAGGTTCTTTTGTTACGACTTGGTTTTTGATTTGATCTTGTGTACTTGATATTATATTTGAATAAAAGAATATTTCTATGGGACTTGAAAGGATAATGTACACTTTCTTTACACTTATTTTATTCAAAAATATCTTGGTCTGAAAAATACATGTGTTACCTCTTCGTTCATCTTCTTTTCTCTCTCTTTTGGCATATTGTATCATACAATAACAATCGTTCGAGTAACACGTAGTTGCAAATGCAATGTATCCATTGTTAAAATAATTCCTCATTGTATCTTAACTATAAATGCCCACGCGAATGGCCAGACGCGTGAACGTGTTCTTACACTAATCAATTAACATTCGTGGAAAGATCAATCGCCATTTTCTTAACCCAAGACGGTAAGACGCGAATCTGAAGGTTCGTCGATATTTTTACCCTCGTGGGTTAAGGGGATCAGGTGGTTGAAGAGTTTAGAAGGAAGAGACAAAATACTGCTATTTTCACGAACATTCAAAATCTTTGGTTCTATGATAACGCGGTAGAAGCCTTATGTTGTGCAGGCCTGCTCAGCAAGTTCCAATGGACATTTTACTCGAAGCTGTGTAATTAGAATGCAAGTAGAAAATGGAATGGAAAACTGTTCTAATGAGTTGTTTACTTATAGCCAATATATGATTAAAAAATTAGAAAACACGGGCAATGTGACAGGAATTTAACTATAGAAGAAATTACCCAGACTTTCTACTAATTTAGTAAATAAAAAAGGAAGTGGAAAAATTGTCTTAGTGCAGTTGCTGTGCAGACCTGTCTTAGTGCCATCCGCAATCTTGTTATAATCTCAATTGTTCAAACACTTCGATCCTTGTCGAAATTGTTTAAACAGTCGTGGAAGGTTTCAACGTCTTGCATCGTTGATTTACACTAGGTTGTCAAGAAATTAGCATTAGCACTACGCTGATACAAGGATGGGATAAAGTTTCAACAATTTCATAACATTAGCCCTGAACCGCTAGAAATAGCTTAAAATTTACACTTTCGATAATGGATAAAAGTTATGCGAGAGATAAGTTTTTTAAAATCCTAATTTTTCGACAACCGATTTTCAGATCGTTTTCTTGAGCAACGTTATCTCCGTTAAAACTATCGATAATAAATAAACTGGCGGAAGATTTGACGGTGTCGAAAGCGCCAGTAAAAAGTTTAACCCTTTCATGCATGATGTAACAAAAAGTCTGCAATATAAAATCCGAAAATTACATGCGATTCTTTGGTACGCAGGAACAGAAGACCTATCACCTGTAAAACCGTCGTTAAATAAGATTCCGTTTACGTAAATTAATCTAAAAAACAGAAAATGAGTAAAAAAGTTGTGCATGAAAAAGTTAAAAATGAGAAAAGGAATATGACGCATGATTACGATAAATGAACACGGACGAATCAGAGATCAAAGACAGTCTAACGCACCCATCGAGTCTTCTTCAGGTAAAATTTGTAATAGCACTTATATACACGAAATTATCCTACAAATTTCATAACATTTATCGGCAGTATGCTATTATTTTCTATTGGTACTCGTTCAGAGATATCGTTATCCTAATGGCAGATTGGCTTTTCGTTACCATTGCTAGTTAAAAAAAGACTGCACTCGAAACTCGTACTCACGAAGAAAAAAAAGAAAACTGTACGAAATTCGAGTTGCATCATTGTTGTCGTCATAGACTAGAATCAGTAAACAAACTGTATTTTTAAAGCTAGTTTACACGAGACAGTCACGGTACTTAATATTTAATTTCCTTTCTTTTCGTACAACGAACTGATATTTTTTATGCATTTCGATTACTAAAAGCGTGGATCGTTCTGAACCTCGGAGCGTTGAATTCTGGGACGAGAATGGAAGTTCGGGTGAAATCGGTCACGATCGGCTGAGTTCGGTTACGATCGGAAGAGATACAGTTTGCCCGATTTTGTCCGAAGCGTTGAACTCTGGGACGAGAATGGAAGTTCGGGTGAAATCGGTCACGATCGGCTGAGTTCGGTTACGATCGGAAGAGATACAGTTTGCCCGATTTTGTCCGAAGCGTTGAACTCTGGGACGAGAATGGAAGTTCGGGTGAAGTCGGACGAGATCGGCTGAGTTCGGTCACCATCGGAAAGTTTGCCCGATTTTGTCCGAAGTTCCTAACCCGTCCAGATTTCAAAAATTCGAGATTCAGCACGAGTCCAGCGTTCACTAATTTAAGACTCACTCAGGCTCTATCAGCGGACGATCCCGAAGAATGAAATACCGATATTTCATGCAAGCGACAGAACTTAGCTGCAGTTCATAGCTCTTCAAGGCGTGTCCGCTTTGAATACAAATATAAGGTACTGCTCGCTTGAATACTAATTGCTAAATCGTGTTCGAAAGTTTCTCGTATTTTCCCCTCTTAGAATGAAAACGTCGAAGAATTAATTTTCATTAGAGCATCGTTTAATGCCAATTAGAAATTCGCTCAGTCGCACCCGAATATCTGGGTGCTACTTTCGTTCTTCGAATTCTAGAATACACTCCAATTCCTAGTACACGTCTAACACGTAATTTTCTATTTTGTGCTAACTCCAACGCTCCTCGTTAAACAGCCTTTATTGCTTTGGATTTTAGACGAGTTTTGTCTACGACTAAGATGGCATTAAGTACCTTGTATTCTGAGGCAGAATCTCATTCATGTTGACCGCCTGTTGTTGCAACACGTTCGCCTCCTTCATCGCCTGCTCCTTGAACGAGGAGAACGTGTGCAACAGATTCTGATCCTTCTGAAGGTTCTGAATGTATTGAAGGAAATTAGGCTCCTGCTTGATAAAGCTACCGTCCTTCAATACGAAGCTCACTTCTTGCTTAGGCATATTGGAAACTTCAGGAGCCTTCTCGAAGGATTCTTTCTGCTCGACGAAGAATGGCTCCTTCTTCATTCGATTTCTTCTGATCCCTAAATGCGTTTGAGTATGTTTGTTCAGGTGGTCCTTCCTGGAGAACGCTTTTTGACACACGGTGCAAGAGAAATTCTTATCGCCGGAGTGTATCACATAATGCCTCGTTAAATGCTCGTTCCTTTTGAACGCTTTCTGACAGACTGGACATTTGAACGGCCTCTCGTCCGAATGGCCACGCATGTGCTGGTCCAGATGCTCTTTCCGCTTTAACATGGCGCCACATTCTTTGCATTGGTACTTACGTTCCTGAAAAACGAAATCCATGTTAATGTGTTCTACTTGTACAGGACTGTACCCTAAGGACCTTAGTAAAAGTCTATGAAAAATAAGGCTAGACCCTTAAGATACTTACTTGTATATGAGCTTGTATGTGTTGTTCGATTTCCGTCTTATCCGGAAAAGCTAAACTGCACTCTGGACAACAGTAAAGAGTCGAACCGTCCAACGCGACGCTAATTTTTATCTCGCCAGTTTTCGCGCGGAATTTCATCTTCTTTTCAGTTTTTGGCGAATCCGTTTGTATCTGTTGCTCGACCTTAATAGTTTGTACTGTATTGTCATTCTCTTGTTGGTTGTCCAAGTGCACGTTCAAATCATTCGGATTAATAGACACCATCATTTGATCAGAACTCATGAAAGCGTTCCCATTTTGCAACTGAGTATTTCTGAACACTGGAACACTGGGAATGTTAAGAATGTTGTTCTGAGAGTGTTCCACCTTCTCCTCCTCTGTCTTCTCCTTCTTCACTTGTTCAGTTTGCAACTTAATCAACTGTTGCAAGGTTAATGGAAGAGTAGTAGCTTGTAGCTTCTGAAAGTACTCAGCCATGGCACTTTGTTGTTGAAGTTGAGCTTGAGAATCTTGCTAGAATGATATTTTTTGTTTAATAAATATTCTCTAAATGTCTAATAGGAAATCTATGAAACAAAATTCTGTACCACTGATGGAGATTTCACTTCATTCTCAGTCCTTGTATCCAAGTCTTGTTTGATACTCTCAGGTTGAGACGTTGATGGCAAGTACATATTAGGTATAATTCTTACTGGCAAACTATTTGATTGAACGCTGAGTATTGAATTGTTTTGATTGTAATTAGGAATGTTAATAGTTTGAATGCCCTGCTTCTCGCAAAGTTGCATCAAAGTGTTCGGATCTGGCCATGCAAGTATTGGTCCAGTATATTTATTCGTCGAATTCACCTTAAATGAAAAATCAAATTAGACAAAGAATTCATTGAAGATAATAAATCTTGTGGGTTCGGTAAGAATATAGATCTTACAAACAAACTCTGTTTCGAGTGATTCGATCCGGGAGCAGTTGTATAAACAAGCGTTTGTTCTGCTTGAGTATGATCACCGCTCGTGAATTTCGACATTGGAATTATGTTCGATCGGGACGTTAATTCAGAAAATTGTGGGAGAGATCCGTGGACGACGTTGTTCCCAGAAAAATCCATTTTGCAGCCAATGAAAGATACGCGCCTTCGCGATTAAAACATGCGAACCTTTCTAACCTATAATATCTACCGCGAATAACGAATACGCGTACTGGCTGTGATCAAGTTTTCAGTCTCATATTTCTCGAGTCGCGTTAAAATGCACGGAACACCGTCGAGATAAAACATCGGTGGATAATAAACACGAGACACTAATTAAATTAAAAAAGTCTTGCGGACCGACGATACGTTATAACGTACGCCGCGTCCTACACACTGCTCCAACATGGCTGCAATAAAGCACTATCTTTGAGATTGCATCTTCTATTCTTCAATATGTGCAAAATTCTCCGAAAAATATTACTCAGAACACATTGTATCTTGCGTAATTTAAACGCTTATATATTATAAAAAAATTCAAATAAATCAACGAGACACATATGCTCATTTTGAAAAAAAAATATGCAAAGAAAAAATGGATTTATTACTTTGGCAGAACTGCGATGCACTTTTTTTATGATCTCTCATTGGACAGAGTATACAATAGACGCTTGACAAACTTCAATTACTAAAGAAGAAAAATAAATAAAGAAACATTTTATCAAATTTGTTTTTTTTAAACAGGTCAAATGAGGGTGAAGATGATTCCAAGTCCTTCAGAGAAAGTAAACGTACGTGATTTGTATTAAGAATAAATATTGATGTATGAATTAATAACATTTTATCAGGAGATAAATATGGTATTTTATGGATGAAAGTTTGAACGAACGGATAAATAGGTTACGACAAAAAAGTCGAGCTCTGTTAGCACAAGCAGATTGGAATTCTAAAAAAGTTAAGGAACTTAGAAGACTATATTCGCAAAGCTTGTGAGTATTACTTGTCATATTCCATTTAACGCTATTTCTAATATGTGTCTTATTTGCAGGACACCGAATGAAAGTTATAAAAATGAAGTGAGTGAATCCTTACCCTGTAAAAGAAATATTAAGTCATGGAAACTAAGAAATGATTCCAGAGGAGTTGGTGGAGCTTTATGTTCAGACTACTTCTGTAAGAGCCCAAGACCTGTATCAATGCCTAATATAAAGTCAACTAAAAGAGTATTAACATCTACAAAGAAACATTCAGAAAATCAGTGCTGCTCAGAGAATGTTATCAGAAAACCAGTTAAAGGTTGTTACTGCAATACTAATACTAGAAAAGTTCTGAGATCAGGCAAAACTCAACATAAGCAACATTCTCCTTGCAAGCGCTGTAAAAGTCACGCTTATACCAGTGCAGTGGTTGTAGAAGACAATGAGAAACAACTCTTAACTTCTCCAATAAGCTGTGAAACTTTGAGAAGGTTACAGAAGATAGACTATGCACCTAGATCTCAATTCCTACGCAATGTTCAGAGCAAAGTCTCTCTCCTACAAACAAATGCGAAAGGGGATTGTCCAGAAACGTGTTCCAGATCACAATGCTATCATGAATTCATGTCTAGAAGAAACAAGTACGATACTGATGCCAAACATACATTTAATCAGAAATCTGAAAGAAGTGATCACTTGACAAAACATGAATCTAAAATGCCTGTAACTGTAGAATCTAGTAAAGATAAGACCTCTGAAGTTAAGAATGTAGATAAGTCTAGCATAGGAGTTCAAGTGTCTTTGAAGAAGCAATCTAAACCGAAAATTGTGATCAAAAGAACACTTTCCTCTAAGAAATCTGTACCTGATTTACAAAAGTCAAGTCAATCCACTAAAAGGTCACCCAAGGATTGCCCATGTTGCCATAATAAATCAAAATATTCTAAATCTGTAGAAGATACTGCTTCAGATTACCAACCTACAATCTGCATAAATAAAGACCCTGATACTTCTCCTTCCGATGAAGAAGTTAGGGAACTAAGAAAATTTCGTGAACAGAACTACTTTGACACCCACGGATCCAATCATACTTTATCATCTAAGTCCTCTGGGTCTCTAGAACAATATTTCTTGAACGATAGACTGTTTCCTGAACCCGCAAGGAAGGTTCACAGGAAAGATCTAGTTGTAACGATGCCAGCTTGCGCCACCGTGCAACGAAAACGCGTGCACTATTTCCCTCGCTTTGTCGTTCGTCAAGAGAAGAGCGCCAACTGCAAGAAGAAGCGTTTCCACTCTTGCCCTTTGACTGGTCACGCCATTGATCTTGGAGTCACAAAAATTAGGCCTCCTATGAATAGTTTAGCCCTTAAATATCAGAAGCGGCTGCCTTGATCTTTTATATTTAACATTAAAAACTGATCATGTAGCACTAAAATTTTGTATAGACTTTTGTATATTGTGATAATAAAATGCTGTGGCCATTGAATGTGTTTTAATGATGTTAATGTCCTTTTTTATAGTGCTACAGTGGTTTTTATATGAAGATAGTGTATGTTACGATGGTCTACGTGACCTCATCCACGACAAAGTCCTGTAGAATCGTTCGTCATGATGACTCCTGACCTGTAACGAATTCAAGATGCAAATCTGTATTGAATAAAAGATGCGGATGTTGGTGAAACAAAGATTGAATCACTTGCACCATGCTAGACAGGATGACAGAGTCACACAAACATGTATCTAAACTCTGAAGTAGCCAAAATATTTAAGTTGAATTAAATTTTAAAGTACATTCAGTGTCTAATGATTGTAACATTTTTTAGAGGTTACTAGTAAAAGTAATGGAACGTTTTGCAAGAATACTTATAAAGTTAACAATGAGATCTTTATCTATTCATCGAGATATTGTTTCATTATGCGCGTAGCGAAGAAGGAAACATGATTTGATGTTAGCATGCAGCTGAGCACCCGAAGAAAAAAGCATGAAGAATTGTTCTTTGGTAAATTACAAGTACGTGATGACCATGACTGAGCACGGTCTGACCAATGTATGCACCGTGACCTTCATTCCCCAAGATGAGTGTCTCCTTAAAGACATATTTTATACCATCATTTGAATAATAGTAATATATTATTAATTTCAACTGATAGAATCATAATTTCTAAGGTCGTTATTAAATGTCCGTTTATTGAACCTAGGACCTCGAGCTCATTAACGTCGTTAATGAAATACGAAAACTGGTTTCTTGGTTTCTCAACGAAATTGAGAAATAGTCCAGCGTGTTCCAAGATACAATTGTAATATTTTTATTTAAACACAAGCTTGCAATGTTGTGAGATATAATTTCTGTTCTTTTGCAGATATGATTTCTGTTCTTTTACAGATTGAAATTATTGAAGATTAAAGAAGAAACGAGATGTTTCGTAGAATTTCGAGAACGATGAAGGTGGAAGTAAATGCATTTGAATATATCAAGGAACATCCGTATTTACTTATTTGTGATTCATTCGGGTGTTATCGCATTTATGTGAAAATGTGAGAAGAGACAAAACCTGTCGCCCTTCGAGGCTGTTGACAACTATGTGACAACAGTTAGGTTCAACTAACAATTAATTTCAAGTTTAGTAAACATTGGGTTTCGTAACGAATATGATTTAATAATTGTGACTTCATCTTCCTGTTCTTTTGATTGATACGTGAAATAATTGTTTATTATTATATTATAGCTAAATTAGTGTAGATATAGTGTAGAAATAAACATAATTAGTCTAGAATTAAAATGTTACAGTAAAATAATATAATATGTGTATTTAATATTTATAATTTGTAATTTATAAACTAATATCATACGTAAACATTTCGACAAATATAGCAATCGCCATATTTCTCAATTTTCTCAATTCTGTCTCGTTTCAGTTCATTTTGAGATCAAATTTTCCGCAATATCTGGAGACTTCGTTACAATAATTGGATCTGCCCGAGCACCAGTCATCATTTCAAATCATCGAAATCATTTCAATTTTCCGAAATCATTATTTTTCCGTCCCTAATATCTCCATTTCAGCAAATACCTTTACGTTGACACTAAACTTGATTCAAATTAAACACACCACTAATTACCATGTCCACTAAATTATTCAACAATTGCAACAAAATTGAATTCAGTGGAAATTTTGCATGAATCATCGCGAGCAAATAGAAATCAATTTCCGTAACATAAAATTAATATTCAGATAAAATCTGTACGTTGTTCACACATTCAATTTAAATTTCAAATTCATTGATCATGTATTCCGGTCAATATTTATTCACATCGTATTTAAAAAAAAAAATGAATCTATAAATGTTAAATACACTAATTGCAATTCAATTATGCATCGATCTAATTACCTTGATCGTTATAGAATCAAATAAATGAGATAGTAATAAAGTTCTTTTAAAAAGAATGATAATTATAGAACAGTCCATGAAGAATATTTTTATACCTCCAAGAAAAAATTATTTCGAGTGAACAGGAAAGAGCGTTCGGGAAATTGCCAGATTGTTCAGAGATCAGTGAACCCAGCCCTTGAAGATCTGAACTGTTAACCTTGGTCATCTCCTAACTAATAGAAAGTTGTGCATAATTAATCGGTCGTAGCGTGATCGGGTAATATACAGAATATATCGTTTTATCCTTCGTACAATGACGACAATCGATTGCTTTTACGTCATGGGTCGAAGGATCAAGCTCGGTGCTGGTGAATGCACTCTACGGAAGGATACTATTGCTAGAAATAACTGTTTTAATGAAGGTTTAAAATGTCAGCAAAAAGGATCAGATATGTTCTAGTTAAAATGTGATATAAATTATAGGAAGATGGATGGATGTTTGGCGGGATTTGGGGGAGTCAAGGTTAGATATAGGTTCTTGGGGGTGTGGGGGTTTGGGGACGTAGGGATTTGGGGCAATTGGAAATTGGGGATGTAGATATTTGGGAAGGTAGAAATTTGGGGAAATAGGGAATTGGAGAAGGTGGGAATTGGGGAATGTGGGAATTGGGGAATGTGGGAATTGGGGAATGTGGGAATTGGGGAATGTGGGAATTGGGGAATGTGGGAATTGGGGATTGTGGGAATTGGGGAATGTGGGAATTGGGGAATGTGGAAGTTGGGAATGTGGGAATTGGGGAATGTGGGAATTGGAGAATGTGGGAATTGGGGAATGTAGGAATGTGGGAATTGGGGAATGTGGGAATGTGGGAATTGGGGAATGTAGGAGTGGGGAATGTGGGAATTGGACAAGGTGGTAATTGGGGAATGTGGGAGTGGGAATGTGGGAATTGGGGAACGTGGAAATTAGGGAACGTGGGAATTGGATGGAGTGGGAATGTGGGAATTGGGGAACGTGGAAATTAGAATGTGGGAATTGGGGAATGTGGGAATTGGGGAACGTGGAAATTAGCAAACGTAGGAATTGGGGAATGTGGAAATTACCAAACGTAGGAATTGGGGAACGTGGGAATTAGCAAACGTAGGAATTGGGAAATGTGGGAATTGGGGAATGTGGGGTAATTGATATTTGAAAATATAGAGCTTCAAGAAAATAAGAACCGCATGCCTAAAGAATTGCAAAAATACATCCAGAAAAGTACAAATTTCTCTCCATCGATATTTACGGACGCATTTTATCACAACTAACATCTGAAGAATTTATATTCCCCCAAAAAATCCCTAGACTTTTACCCAAAAAGGTAAAAGTACCCCGAAATCAAACATTTCACTAACTACTTCATGCTAATTCCCGCTTAATAACGAGTTCTTAAAACTTCATTAAAGTATTTTATTAACCACCATGTTGTAACGAGAAACAGCTTTCTACTCGGAACTTTCTCACAATAGGTATCTAAACCGGTCACATATCGCCCAGAAAATAACAATAAAATATTCGAAGACGATTTTCGAATTCTTTCCTGCTAGCCCCATTAAATTAATTGAGGAACGTTGTTCGAGGACCGTCTCCATATTTTGCATTCTAGAATATCCTCCATCTTGCATGTATGCGTTTTGTTCTCGTATACGTACATTCTCTCCCGGCAGCTTCTGTCGCTGCTGCAGGTCATTTGTTAAATACAAAAATAACCTTAAAAAATTTAATTCTACCATGTATATGCTTATGTGTGTCTTTTGTTCTTCCAAATGGACAGTTTCACAGAATTTCGCCTCGTTTACGATCCTTAAATTTTCTTTTTTAATTAAAATTATGTGTTTTGTCGAAGAGTTTGGTCATTTACCAAACAATCAAGTTGATAATAATCTATAGGAAGTAACGACTGCCATATTTTTAGTTTTTTTGTGCGATCAAAGAAAAAAGACTAATACGTAGAATTTCTGCTGTTTGCGTTCTCTTTGACGCATATATGACCTTTAAAAGGAAGAAAAATTGTACCTAGTTAATGGTGTGACAAACAACTTGTCGGACTACATTGCAAGAGGATATTTATTGTACTATGATGCCTTGCATAATTGTTTGTACTGGAATGTGATGGAGAGTGTTTGTATGTGAGAGTGGGACGGTGGCGTAATTATGGAAGGGTGGACAACCCCGTTGAAATATGAAACTGTACTTTGAGAGATGGAGAAGCAGGGTTCAAACACGGTTTTTAAGTTTGAATATTTTTTACGTGGTGAAATTTCTGGGTATAAAATTTCTGTATTTTTAAATTTCTGCATCTCCAATTCCTACATTCTCCAATTCCCACATTCCCCAATTCCCACATTCCCCAATTCCCACATTTCCCAATTCCCACATTCCCCACTCCCACATTCCCCAATTCCCAACTTCCCCAATTCCCACATTTCCCAATTCCCACATTATCCAATTCCCACTCTCTC